TCCATATAAGTTATTAGCATTCATCACCCTTATTTTCTTTAGATTTCCCACATTGCCTATGGACTCTATACCCCAATATATCTCTAAATTATCTATACAGTAACTCAACAATGGCACACCAAAATCATATTGCTTACATCAATCAATATTGTCCTAATACATGTGTTACAATCATACTAATCAATGTAATACAACATATGTATTATAATTTCACTCGTCGATGTATTACAACACATATATTATAATCGCACCAATAGGTATTTTTATGACACGTTTTAGTTGCTCATTTTCTTTACTTACTTTCTCAGCAATTTACATATATTCATATCAGTCTCATTAATCACTTTTATTATCAATCAAGTTTCCTTCATCTCTTATCCATTTTATTACATCATGTCTAAATTTACAGCACACTTGAATTTAGTCAACATTTTATTCAATTAACTCATGTATTACCAACATTCTATTCAATCAACTCATGTATCACAAATTTAAATTCTATTCTTAAACGTAAAAATATTTATGTGACAAATGATTTGGTTATTATTTAACATATTTATGTTTATAATTATGATAGAGGTGTAAATTCATAGACTAATCTATGAATTAATCCCGCATGGTGATAAGGTAACATTTTCTACTTCAATCTTTAAACTATATTTCTTACTTTCCCAATTTTGTCACAAATACTTCTAATTTGATCTTGGATTACATTGATATGATTCCAAATACTTTGTGTGTGTCAAATCCATTACTCGTGTGATTTCAAAATATTCATTCACATAATTTAGACTTTTGTGATCGAATTGAAAAAAATTGTATCGAATTGATTAGAAATGTGTGGTCAATGATCGCTTAAGTTCTTTAATTTGAATTCACAATTTAGATTAAAATTGATTTTAGAATCAAATATCTTTTGCAGAGTAGAAATTAAAAGTCGATTAGTTTTAATTTATTGAATTTATTTGTGTTTTAAATTCTTAATTACGTTCTAACTCGCATAAAATCTCTCCTAATTTTTTGTGTTTTGTTTTAGCGTTTCTAATTGAAGTTTTCAAAAAAAATGACTTAAACTTATCTCCTAGTTATGCATTTAAATTATTAAATAGTTATCATAAAATTATGAAATTTCTTTTCATTCCCGATTAATAAATCGGAATGAAGTATTTTATTGAATATATTTGTATTTAAAAAAACTTAAAATTTTAATTCTTAATTCATAATTTATGATAAATTTAGAATCTATTTATATTTTTTTATTTATTAGATATTTGACTTTTTATTTAATAAATATTGTCTCTTAAATACTAAATCTAATACATTTTTTATTTTTATTATCTATTTATGTTAATTATTTATTATTATTTTTATTAATTTATATCATTAAAAATAAATTAAATTTCAAAATATCATAACACATAATTCCATCTAAAATGTTATAAACTACTAAAAACACATTGTAAACTCGTTGCCTACTGATATGTAAGCAAAATTCAAAATTTTAAAAAAATTGCTTTAATAAAGCTGGAAGATGTATTTATATCCTTAGAAATATATTTTCAAAATTAAGAATATATTAATTGAATTTTTAAGCTAACAAGATTATTTTATGAATATTTTACAATTATTTAAGTTAGTTAATTAATAGAGATATTTTACCCTATGAAAAACATATTTATAAAATCAACTAACTTATTTGGAGTATATATTCCTACTGTCCATTTTTTTTTTAAGAAACTTATTACACTACAAAAAAATTGCTTATTAGTGGCGGTTATATTTTATGATTAGCGGTGATTTTAACCACCTCTAAATATTTTTCTGACAGTTATGAAACTGACGTTAAAATTGGCGATGTAAAGCCAAAGTTGTGACAGTTTTAAACCGCCACTAAATTTTTAAATTTGCGGCGATTATTTAGCGGCGGTTTTGATCCGCCGCTAAAATTTGAAATTTAAATTTTAGATTGTGCGCGACAGTGTTCTGCTTTTGGCGGGACTGTGTTTTATTTTTGGCTGGTAGTACTCTATTGTTGACTTCCACACTTTTTTTCATTTTTATCTTCTACTCAGTTTTTTCTTTTGCTATTTGGGTTCACATTCCATTTATTTTTTAAGGTTTAGGGCATTTATATTTTATAATTTATAGTATAGAATCGTTGGAGAGAAATTTTTTTTTGAGGAAGTGAAAATGATAGTAGAAGATTACCAAGGTTATTATGGTTGGAGAAGATATTTTGGCAGTGGCAATAGTGTGGCGGTGATGGCAGGGGCAGCGGTGGCGGCAATGGCAGAGAGAATTGTGGAACTCATGATGCTAAGGTGAAGATGAATGATATCTTTGAGTGGGTGATAGAGAATGAGGGAGGAGTGGTGTTTCTTATATACTGTTGTCGTGAACTGACGCTAAATCTCGCATTTTTTTGTGGCGGTTACGTAAAACTGCACTAAATCCCGCATTTTTTCGTGGCAGTTTTACAAAACTGCCACTAAATCCCGCTTATTTAGCGTCAATTTTGCAAAACTGCCACTAAATCCCCCCTTTTTTGCGGTGATTTTGCAAAATTGCCGCTAAATACCGCCTATTTTGCGGCAGTTATGCAAAACCGCCACTAAATCTTGCATTTTTTGTAACGGTTTCTAAAACCGACGTTAAATATTATTTTTAAAATAATTTAATAGCGATTATTATTAACCGCCACTAAATGGCGCATTTCTTGTAGTGTTAGTTTGATTTTTGTTTTTGATAAAAAAAAAAAGCACCTATACTGTTTTGTTTTGTAAATTTTTTCAGTTGACTGTACAATTGTATTTCTTTCTACTTTATTTATTTTTCTTGATAGGATTAAACTTAAATGGACTTAATTTGAGGTTATTAAGAAAAATAAAAATTACAGTGGTAATAAAGAAACTTTAATGACCTTGAATGGTTAAGATTGTGTTGAATTTGAAGACTTAATCCTAATCACTCATTCTTTCACTCTCGCCCCATAAATACCCATCCCTTAGATTCATTTTCCTTCTCCATAGTCAGCACACTTGATAGCTCCCTCTGGGTCTTCTCCACCTTTCTTTTTTCTCTTTCATTGCATTAGCTCATTCAATTTTAGTTTCTTATATTTTTTTTTCTTAAGTCTTAGTTAATTCTTAGTTCTTCTAATGGTCATCCACTATATTCCTAATCATTTAGAGTGAATTATAAACATGGTGAGTATGGGCATGATTTTCTTAAACTCACCAGACCTTTAATTCTTTGGTTTCCATGTGATTTTTGGCATTTGTAGAAGATTCTTGTAAACTTGAGAGCTACAACCACAACTTCACATCATTTCCAAATTAAAACTAAATTCACTCTCTAGGTAAGGCAGGTGTAGTTTGTCATACTTGACTAGTCTATGGTTGTAATGGGTGAGAATTTTCTTTGAATTCCCTTAGGTTATTGTTAGATTGAGATTGATAAATTGTGATAATGTAAGATATGAAGAACCTTAAGGAGATAAATTTCTTAAATGACAAATTTGTATTGTATTTTATTTTTAAAATTAGAAAATTATTTTTAAAATAGAAATTAAACATTCTCTTATTCTTTTTGTATTTTCAAGCTAGAGGTAGGAGATGGTTTATGTAGATAATTCTTGATTCTTTTGTACTTGCTATTTTGTTTTTTGAGATATGATGACATGTATATAGTTAATCCTACTTAGCAGATCATATGAGTAAATTTTTTATATTGATTTCTTAAAGATGAAAAGTTAGTTAAAAGTTGAATAGTTAGTTAATTAAAATGGAAGTATTTAATAAAACTAATTGTTTTGCTGGTAAATGTACAATAAAAAATAAGACTATAATAACTAAGTAGATTAACTTTTAAATTTAGTAAGGTTAATATGATATTTATACTAATTATTACAAAAAGTTTAAGGTTCTTTTCGACATGACAATTATATTGAATAAATATTTACATTGTTAATGTATATAAATTAAAATATTTATTTATTTTATATTATTTGTGACATATTTTTTCCTTTTTAATGTAATAAAAATAAATAAATTAGAGTTTAAGAAATTGAATAAATAAGAAAAAATTACTTAAAAATAATAAGGACAAAAATAATAAAATTACATTAAACTAATAACTGAAAATAATAAACGTTAGTATAAGTAATGTTAAAAAGAAAAGTTAAAGCTACCAATTTCACTTACTCTACCAAATAGTGTTATTGTTATTAAATAAATTTTCAACTAGTAAAATAAACGTTCACATATATGAAATGCCTTTTCAAATATTTGGATAGAAAATTTAAAAATTTAAAAATATATTTAAACAATACAAAAAGATGCTTAAATAGAGAGTTAAATATGAGAAGAATTATAAATGATAAATATAAGAAATTAAGTACATAAAAGGAATTTTTAAATTTTTTAAAAATACAATATTTGAAATTATTTCCATTTAATATTAAAACTATCTAACTATTTTTTTAATATTTTAAACTGTTTTTTACTATCCAAATACATGAATTACAGTAGTTTTGAAATGTCTTATCCAAATATAATTTAAGATTTTATGTCCTTTATAACTATTAAGATTTTAGTTATAAAATTTTTATTTATTTACTTATTAAAAGAATAAAAAAACAAAATTGATATAATCAATGTAATTAAACCACAAAAGAACAAATTAAATTAATTTTATTTTGACGTTAACAAAATATTATTATGAAACCAATATATAAGAACTGCATTTGTTTTATAACCAAATCTTTTCATCTTAAAATTAATTCAAATCATTTAGAAATTCGCTTTAACTAAAAGGACGACATTGTCTAAAAGGAAGAAATAATCACATTTAATCATATAGACCCAAACAATCAAAATTATAGAAAGTAACGAGTGATGTTAAATGGCACTTGTAAATAACTGCAATGAGACACCTCGACTAGGTTTCGTTCGTTCTGAGGGAAAGAAAAAACAGAAGAAAATACTAAGCTACTTGCTTTCCCTTTTGTTGAAGTGTAAAAAGTAGTGGCATTCGAGAGAAGCATGGAGCTGACGCGTGCTTTTGCCAGCGGAAAATCTCTTCGATACCCTTTTCTTTTCGCCTTCACCTCTCTTCAAATCCGTTCTGGTACCTCTCTTTCTTTCTTTTGCTTTTTTTTTTTCGTGGGTGTAATTACCAATTTGTGTGATTTTGTTTGCTATTTTCGAATTTGTTCATAAGGATCACAAATGAGTTCTAAGGTTTTTTCTGAAACTGAAATTGAATAAGTGGGCTATGTGGATTCACTTGATTATGGATGTTTGGGTTTAATGCTACCAAGTTCTGCTACCTAAAGAAAACTTCGAATTTTATTGAATTGATCTGCAAAGGTTGTTTCATTTTATGAAATATTCTTAGAAAGACTCTTCTCGTGGGTCTTGGATGGCAGGTACTAGGTAGAGTAGAGTATATAGAAGAGGGAAATGAATTTGCCTTTCAAAATTTCAGCATTTTCAGAACCTGATGAAGTCTGTTACTGTATGTACGACAAATAGTTTAGCAACTTGGCCTTTTGCCTTATAGGTTGTTGCTTAACAATATATATCGGGAATGGACAAACTTATATTCCTTAAGTTATTTATATATCGTTTTAATTTGATATAAAAGGATGTAGGAGAATTGTTCTTGTTGGTGGCTTATGTGAAATTGGTTTCCTTGAAGGCTTAGCCAATGACCCATCAGGAGCTAAACATGAGAGTAAAGAAGCGAGTGATGGAGCTTCAGGAACCTCTTCGGGGTTCGTCATAATTTTGATATGCCTCGGTGTGGTGACAGTCATAGCATTTGGTGCTTTTCTTATGAAATTATGGCAAAGGAAGAAGAGAGAAGAGCAGCATGCTCGTCTTCTGAAGCTGTTTGAAGATGATGATGAACTTGAGGTGGAACTTGGTATACGGGATTGACAACTCTGTCGAATTGTCGGATTCACAATAGTTGAGGTGGGAATCGCCTTCTTTGTCTATAAGGCTGTGCTCTTCTTCCATTCTTCTAGCTTAGCATGGGATCTGTACGATTCAATAATGAGAATGATTTGAAGGAAATTTATATTTGATCATTGTATGCTTATTTGTAAATTATATATTGAGTGCATTGGATATGGTGTTATCAATCAATAAACTTTCATTTTAAGGTGTGTAGTCAATTTGAAACTGCGCTTCCGCTATAAAGCCATTGTTTTCCCAAGTTTATTCCTTCTACAATTGTCATTGATACCAATTTATTTCATCTTTTAGTAGACAGTACAAAATATATTATCATTTGAGTTCCTTTGCTTGTTGCATCACAATCTAAAACACTAATTGATTTTTCTGACAAGACAGTTCCTTCTGTAGTTATCTTTGTTGGAAGATTACAATCCAAGAGTTATATGCAAGGATGAAAAGGTCAGCTGGTCAGGTGTCTTCCTCCTATTGATCTCGCAAAAGCTTACTATAGAGGGTATTTAAATTGTATTATAGGATTCTACCGGTAAGTTTGTTTTATGTAAATGTAAAGATATATTTAGTAAAGGTGGCTGCGCAAATATGTTGACAGCATTATAATATTACGTACAACTAGGCCCATGGAACTTCATTTCAGGCTTTAGTGTCAATTTTTCATTTATATTTAAGAATGGGAGCATTTCGTATTTCATGCTTCCTAAGTCTACACACTGATTCCATTAGAAGCATCCTTTACTATATAATTTTCTGTTAGCAGTTATAACGAAGAACGATTAATTTTAGGTGTGTGTAAAAAATGTAGATGGAGATTCAGAAGCAGCTCAGAAAGTTATTAAAATGTAGGTGTGAACCTCTCATTAATTTTAAACAAGCATGATCCTTAAATATTATAAAAAAGATTGGTTGTCATGACCCAAATTTGTGTCTATTGTGGACAACTAGCAAAATTACTATGCCAACTCAACCTATTCAAGCGTCCAAACATATTAATTCACATAAATATTCCAAAACGAATTCAGATGTTCATTATACTATTAGGTGGAAGAGTTTCATAGTTTAAGTACAACTTTAAACATCTTATTTTACTCAATGAAGGTTTATATTCTCCTGGAACTATAGTATTTTTTTCAGCCCAACTCTCGATTTTTTTATCTTTATCAAAAACTAGCTCATTAAGTGGCAAAGCCCTATAGTTTACCTATCAAATCGAACATAGCTTAATGTGGGACTTAACCTTCTCTCCTCGAATTTTATAAATTATATACTAAGAGTAATTTTTTATTAAAAATTTTACTATTATAATTATATATGTTAAAATTTGCATATTTTTTATAATTATTTGATATGACATATAAATTTGGTAAATATACGATATTGTCATTAAAAAGAGCAGCCTAATTATTCCTCTCTCCTTTCCCTGTCCTTTCTTTTTCTTTAACAATATAATACAAACGATTTTCTTATTCTCTCTGTGTCCGAATGGTATGTTTCTCAATACGTTTGTTACCATTGACATCCACTTTCATATTATAAATTTATTTATTTTTAAATCAATTTATACAAATTCTCCTTATTTGATATTAGAGAAAGAATGATTGTTTCGAACAAATTAGCGGTACAGTTTAACTAATTTAAAATGATAGTGTGAACCAACCGGAAAAGGTAGGATTCAAAACGGGTTGATATCTATACGTACTATTAGACCAACTCAATCGAATCATTCACATAAATAATATAAGTTTGATTAATGCGATTTTAAAATTAAAGACGTTGCAATAAATTAAATGGTGTCCTTTAGATTTATCGGTTGAAAATTTAGCTAGGTGTTGAATTGATAATCGTCCTTAATTTCTCAGTGATTAAAAATGGCATGTTCAGGCACGGGAAGAGGGTAACCAAAGTGGAAAATTTAACATATTGGGAATATGATATAGTCTAGTTATATAACGTTTTCTGCAAAGTACAAAGACCTAGGAGGCGATGATATACGTAGAGAGTGGGTGATGAATGATCGATCTTGAATGCGTGCGTGACTGAAAAGGACGTGCAAATGGGAATGGGAAGGTGGGTGCTTTTAACCAAAACCAATGGCTCGCTGGCATCCATAGTGAACAGAAACAAAGATAGATAGCGATTGGCACCAATTTCGTTTTCGGATCATTAAGTCTTGCTTCAGCAAACCTTGACAATTTTATTCACAAGGAACATACTTGGTCGGTTCATTTCTACACGCAATATCATTACGCCACAACTATGCCACTAAAGTGTTATTCTTTTGGGGGCAATAAACTGCCCTTCAACATTGGACCAACCACAGAATGACACTCATGCACCCAACCTCCCATAACCGTTACAAATTAACTTACATACATACATACTCATCAAAATCAAATAAGGTCTGCACCGTCAATAACAATTCTCTCGGGTATGTATTTCTCAATACATGTACCCCATCTAAATTCAACCATCTTACTTTCTTATATCATGCCACGTGCCATTCTCAACAATGTCCCGCACAACCCTCAACATTTTAAAGCCCATTTATTTATAATTTACATATTCACAAATACCTTTAGATAAATAGTTTAATTAAATATCAATATTGATCTCACCTCAAATCTTTGATCTCGTCAAATCAGTAAGATCCTCATTGTTGCACTAAGGTATATCCCCGAAAAAAAAAGTATTCATCAGCTGTACATCCAATCTCGTCATTGTATATGCTCATTATTTCAGATTTGTCAATTTTATTAATTGGTCATGAAATACTATAAAGATATTAAATCTAATTTGTACTTGATAGTTTCAGAATCGGGTGTAGAAAACGAAAAATACTCCTATGACTCAAGTATATTTCTTTTATTAAACTTTTACTCTAGCCAAATTTGACTTCAGCATTGGAGTATTTCTTAAAAAAACATTCTTGTAAAGTTGACTGGTACACTCTAAAAAACCTTCGTCAACTTTCAACAACAACTAGTATCAAGTGTTTAGACATCTATAAATTTTTATTATGAATTTATTTATGTTAACTATAAATTACTTTCATGTTAGGGAAGATTTTAAAAGACAAATAAGAAACAAAAGACGACAACTACTATCTGTACTCACTAAGTACATTAAGTCAAATTTCATAATTTTCATTCATCTTTAAGTCAATTCTACAATTTTTTTTCCCTTTCAAACCCAAAAGCCTACGAAGCTTCAAACCTCCATTTAAAAGACTCCGTTCTTGGTTAACTATGTCAATGGCTTTGCTAATTGTCTATATCCTTGAATGAAGTTTTGATAGTATCCTTAACATGGTATTTCTTAGGCAAATGGCTATATGATTTCTAGGTTTGTTTTATGTTTTGTTGTTTAGTATAAGATATAAATGCAAATACTTATACTTTATTAAAATGCATGTAAATTGTTCAATTTATACTTCAAATACAAAATTTGATTGAAATTTTAGTTTTCTCTCTGATATTCAAAAGAATGATTGAAAAAGTCATTGTGTTGAATCTTAAATTATTTAAGTTGGATAGTTTAGAAACAAATTTTTTATTGATTAGTTAGCAAATGCTTTTTAAAAACTTTTATGTTATACTTAACAAAATTTTGGTTTGGTACATTTTTTATTATCTCTAGGTGCATGCTTGATTGTAGTAAATGATATCACAATCAAGTTATATACTTGGAGACTAATGCAAAATGCTGCCAAAATTTTGTCATGTATAAAATACTATATTTAAGTAGCAAATGTTGATTAAAGCATAAAAACTTTCTTCTCAACTAGGATAAGGTCATACCATGTGAATAAAACAAGATATTAATTATAACATGTGTAATTATCATTTGAGTAGTTTGAACTGATTGATTTTCTAACATTAATATTAATATTTATATTAATTTGTGGATTAGCATTATCAAATAATTATAGTTATATTGTTATTAATTATGATATAAAATAAATATGTATAATTATTATCAATTATATAGATTTTGTGATTGGCTCTTAGTATGAATGGCCCATGGTGGGTTAGGTCATTCTATGTGCCTAGTGAAAGGTTTCTGCTCTCATCTGATTAGGTTTATATATAATTGTTGCTCCATTAGATAGTTACTAGTGTGGGATAATAGCAATCAGATAAGAAAATAGTATATGCTTACTTGGAAACAAGGATTGCTTATGACTCGTAGATTCTCAATTAAGTACACGTTTGATGCAATTATTCAATTATATATAGGAATTATATTGAGATGTTATAATATGTATTATATATAATTATGGTATCTTTAATTTTATATATAAAATTCTGCAATACTTTAATTTTATATTTAAAATTCTATAATTGGTATCAGAGCCAACTTAATACACATCATAATTTTTCAACTTTGTGCAACTAAAAGTGCTATAATTTTATGTATGGATTTAGAAAATAATTTAGGACTTTTGTTCCTCTTATATTCATAAATATCATATCCAAAAATTGTCAATTTTTGTTGGGTATGTTAAGAGAATTTCACAATTTCTTAATTTTTGAAATTACAAACTATAAAATTGTTTTCTTTTAAATTCTCTCAAAGGGCCAAAGTTTTTTTTGCAAATAGATTAAGGGATTTTGTTAATAAATTGAACATAGACATAACCTAATAATTAATCATTAGTTTGTTCAATTTAGATTGAGAATTTTTTTTCTTTCCTTTTGCATTTATCATTACCCTATTTTTGTTTTGATTGAATTTCCTCAAACAAAAACCTTTTTCAACAAATAGCTGTAGGGCCTTTGTTTTACATATCAAAAAGAACATAGTGGACCCTACTCGTTGAAAAAAACTGTCTGGGTTGCTCGAATTCTCACTTCGAATCCTCTATGGCCGCACGAGTTTTAGTCTTTGAAACTCTCTTTTTTGTTCAAAATACACCCATATGGCTTTGGAACGGCATGAATTGGTGCTCTAGTATGCAAGATTGAACTGGGTCAGGTTTCTAGGTTTGTTGGACCCATTTTGCAACTGATGGAATTTTTTCTAGGTGTACAAAGCCCACTCATAGAGCCAGGAGAGTGTG